GTACAATGTACCTATCGTGCTGGCCAATGCTTCATGTGGACTCAAGTCTGGCCAGGTACTTCTTGGAAAGGCTGAGGATGCAAAAAGACAGATTCAAAACTTGTTCGTGAGGAATGTTAGGAGTCACAATGTTGCTGTCGCACATAGGCGTAGAAGTAGCCAAAGAGTTAATTTTGTGGGACTGAAGCTATTCAGAACCAAATATAACGAATTTCAAAACTCAGGGGCCGTTCCAAACCTTCCCTCTACTTCACTGATGGAAGAACTAAAACTTTCATTTGAAGCCAAACTGAGGAAGATTAATGTCACCCGTTGAAGCTTTAGTGTAGTACGGGGTGTCGTCAAATAAAATGCCGTGCTGTTGTTTGAATCAAAGACTCTTCTCAATTTTCTAGTTGTTGATGATCCACAGGGGGACGTGATTATAGGTTCCCCAACCTTGGAAAAAATGCAGGCCTACATCGACATGGGAAATCATACGGTGACTGTGACTATAGAAGAGAAACACTGCATATTAGGCCTCAAGTATGACAAAGGAATTCCTCATATGGAAGGATGCATTAACGGTGGTGAGGATTTCACCTCAGACTCGGAGATACACCCAGCATCTTCCAGTTTGGAAATTGATGATGATAAAGAACGTGTTGTGGTTCTTGCGAAGGAGATCGAATCTTGCCCAACAGTGGATGGTGACAGTGATGGGGAAGAGACCATCCTCCATCTTTTTAAAGAAGATGAAGGTGGTGACCTTGAGAACGCGGAGCTACATGTTCTAAGCCTTTTCGAGAAAAAGAAGACCTAAAATCGACATTGGTTGCACGAAAGGTCAATCATCTGTCGAAAAGGGGGCAAATGCAGCCCCCCGTCACACTGATGAGCTCAAAAGCCGAACTGTTGACGTTTCAGTGAGGCATTCTTTCGAGCTGAAGGATCCTGAACCTTAAGTGTTTCGGTCGAAACGTCTCCAACCGCGACATACCGATCTGGTAAGAAAAGAAACGGGTAAAATGCTTCGAGTGGGAGTGATCATACCAGCAAGCTCTGTTTGGTCTTTCCCCATTGTGATTGCGACAAAGAACGAGGGAAGCCCAAGATTTTGCGTCGTCTACTGTGCATTAAATGCCAAAACTAAGTCCGATCCCTGGCCACTACACCGCATAGAAGAAGCTTTTGATCACCTTCATGGATCGTCACTATTTTCAACTATATATTTGTTTTCAGGTTGTTGGCAAGTGCAGAGGCCCGAATAATTCAAAAAGATGACGACGTTTATTAGCAGATTCGATAAATTCAAGTTTAGAGTTATTCCATAAGGATTAATGAACGCACTTGCTATATTTCAAAATATTTCAGAAGGTGGTGGACGCCGTACTGATAGTCGTATCGTTCGTCGGCGTCAACTTGGATGACGTTTTCACTTAGTCTGACAATATAGGTGATCATGTGATGCGCTGCCAAAACGTAACGTACAGGATTCCCTCGCGTGGATGGAAAGTGAAATTTGCTACGTGTAGTTTTGCACAGCCTCGGTTGAAGCACTTTGGGCACATCATCGATAAGATGGAAGCCGCGACGGATCCAGCGAAGATTAAAGCTATACAGGAGGCCCCACTTTCAACCTATGTGAGTTACCTAAGAAGTTTCCTAGGACTGGTCAGTTACCATCGACGATACATACCAAGCTTTGCTGAAGCATCCACTGCCTTGCATGAGGCCATGTCACCAAACGAAAAGTGACTCTGGACACCAGAAATAGAAGAAGATTTCCTGAGACTCAAGGCCATCTTAGTGAAACCCCCGTTCTTGGATTTCCAGCTTTTGATGAACCATTCGTAGTTGAAACTGATACACTTAGTGTTTCTATAGGAACACTTCTTTCTCAAAAGAAGAAAGCCAGGCTCCATCCTGTCCAGTTCGCTAGTCGTACAATGAAAGCCTCTGAGAGACGTTATTCGGCCTGTAAACGAGTAACATTAGCAGTAATCTTTGAATTGAACACGATTCGTGATTATTTGATGTACGTCCATGTGTGTAGACTCATTACGGATCATCAAGCCTCCCAGTATGAGCCTACGAAGCTGAATGTACATTGAAAACTTGCAGGATGGCTGGATTTTCTTTCAGAATATGAGTTTGAGATAAAGCACAGGCCAGGAGCACAAAATCGTGTTGCAAATTATCTCTCGCGTATAGAAACATCTGCAGAACAAGAGCCCGATGAAGCCATACTGGAAATGTTTCAGAAAAATCAATGTTCGAAGACTTACAAAAGTATCTCTGCATAAACGGATTTACATCTTGTAATTCATATTGAAGACTAAGGATAATCTCAGACGTTATAATATGAAAAGAGACTCTAAGAACTATATGGAATAGCACAGAAGGCTTATTTGCGGGATGAAACTAGGGCTTCTAGCGATACAAAGAGTAGGAACCCGACTGCAGATCGTAAGGAGTTTTCATGACCACATTGGATACAGAGACGTTAATAGAACTAAGCAATTGGTGTTAGAACGCTATTTGTGGCCGAACATCTTGCGGAGTATGTAAGCAGCTATGATAGGCGCCACTTGGCCGAGAACATCCCGACGTATCGAACTACGCTCCAATACACCTTGATGTGCTTATTTTATACGTTTTATATCAATTTTGTTGGACCTTTACCCACATTTTAGAAGAATGGACTTAAGTTGGTGGGAATATAGAACATAGCAGGTTGGCCGATAGCAAAAGCCACATCGATAGTTACCGCCGAAGACTTGATCAAATTTCTAGAAGAAGAAAAATTGGCCCCAATGAGCCCCTCTCGTATCGTAATCTCGGGTAATGCTACGAACTTCACTGCAAAAGATCTGTCAGAAATCACCAAACAAAACGGCATCATCTGGAAGATGGAGATGGCATATGCACCAGTGTCGAATGGCAGAGCCAAACGAATGATTGGCATTCTCAAGAACTCAACGCCAAAGAGCATCTTAGAACGCCCATAGCCTCGGGAAGAGTGTTTGCAGAAGGTACTATATGGATCCCGGTGCCATCATCTGCGGATATAGAGCTTCCCCATCTTAATTACTGTATGGTGTTCTCCCACGGATGTCTCCAAATGACCCGTACGCCGTTGTTGTAAATGGTGACTATATACATCGTGGGGTGGAATTAGAGTCAGTTTTTCGTCAGAAAACCACACGAGACCTGAGGCACTGAAACTCCCAACAAGCTACCAAGATTAAGGGGTTTCAAGTAGGAAATGAATTACTACTAACTCAAGGGGCAGGTCTGAACAAAGCTAAGAAGTGGCCTCCATGTACGTCTAAGTTCAATGGCCCCTGTGCAATCGTTAGAGCTAAGCATCCTGCATACGTTCTAACTTCGAGGCATGGAAGAATAAGCAGAAGTGATATACATGCTGGAGGCCTTGTCCCATACACAAGAAGATTGACATACATCGGCAGACAGAGTGAAGGTGAGCGAACATGAATGATTGCTTTAATGGATTTGGTATAAAACCGTGATATATGATGTTAGGAAAGCAGATGTGTGTATGGAACTCTTACACAGTTTATTGAGTCAAGGCATATGGGGTGGAGGGCCAGTAGTTGATGATGAAACATAATCCTAGACTATAGTGTCCTCCTCATGGTGTGTTGCATAGGTACTGGAAGGCTTGCTGTGGTTGTTGTGCTGGTGAATGGTGCGCTTCGTGTTGCTTTTTGGTGTCGGAACCAGTTTCCGGATCTCAGATACATACACGAACGTCGTGCCACCATCAACATAATCGTCCAAAGTTTTAACACGTAACTGAAACCGGTAAGCCTAGACACATTCCGGAATATGTTTGCGAGCGGTATCCATCGCAACTGCATGATAAAGCCCGCTGGAACCACGAAGGGATAACGGGAATGTGTACAATCTGGCAACGAAAAAGCGCGGTACCGAATTGAACCCTTTCCAGGTTTGCATTCCTTTGCGACAACTGTTTCGGAAGATCTTTGAGGTCCCTGGTACTTGGATGAGAAATCCCAAAGTATTTGAATGCTTCCTAATAGTCCAGTACCTTACCCCAACAATCATGACACATCAGCGATTAGAGTGCAAACAATCCGACACAAAGTGCAGTAGAGAGTCACCGCCTCTTCTCGTCCTGAAATCAAATCGGTTGCTCATCCTGAAATTCGTAACCTCGATGGTTGAGGTTGTCCCTCAACCATCGAGCGGGACAGTAGAATGGACATTTTCAAGTAACGTCGCGGATACTGAGAGCACCACTCGTCAATTGCAGAGATTGCCATGTTTCGACCGTCAGTTCGAAACCTGAATCGATCAGAAAAGGACACTTTAGGAGTATGATTTCCGTGAGTAGCGAAGATACAAAGCGAATACAAATCGATCGCATGCTCTTGTTTAGTGACCTCGTCGACACTATAGTACCAGTGGTCTTTGTATACAATCTTTTCGGTCATCCAGTGACATCCTGGGAGCGCTATATAATTTGTGTGGTTGCGGATAGATAAATTTACTCCAAGACGATAAAAATCTTCGAATGGGTATTTCCCTCATTGGCATTCATCCGGAAAGAGTAGAATATGAGTCCCAAGCGGTTGAAAGTACTGTTTCTTGGAGGACATATCTTCATAGCGCTTGGAACACCTGATAATATAATCCCTTGGGCCTACATTTCCTGAGAGTACCGACAAATTATTGAGAAGATATCCGCTGGAATACTTCCGAATAATGCCCTCGCGAACACTATACGGTCTCTTCTTGGTGGTTCTGGTAGCGATTTGTTTTTCCGGAATCTCGCCTCCAAGAGTTTTTTGGGTAGGTGTGTGGCTTCGTGCCGTCCTCAAGTGCTATTCTATTACTATAACTCTGTAAGTCAAATTCTATTAAGAGTATACTAGGGGTCTAAAACACAACTTTTATACGTCTCGAGTAATATGGTGTTGGCTTACAGTAGTATTACAGCAGTAGAACTATCTAAGATAGCTGACTTGGTGCACGAAAGAGAAATAAGAGAGAAAACGTGAAGAACAAGAAGACGAGAATCAGATTCTCAGAAGAGGAAGGCACTAAGAAGCAAATGTGCAAGCCAAGCCATGCACCGTGATTGGATGTGCACTTGGCGCAAAACGCGGTGGTTGGGCGCACGGGAAAGACAATGCATCAGCGTTTGTTGAAGAAACAGGCGCGGAGAGCCAACTCATAGCACGGTTGGGTATGAGTGAGAACAAGGCTGGATATGTGTGAGATCTAGGCGCGATGTGTGTGAGAGCAAGGCGGGATGTGTGTGAGGGAAGAAGCAGGAGTCAGCCTGTAGATATAGCTGCTCATGGCGTCGTTTCGCGAGGCTACTTGTCGAGGCTGTCCACGTGAACGTGCATGAATGGCGTGCATGGCCCGACAGTTCTTACAAAGGGATGAAAATAGCCATCTGACGATCTCGGCAAAGAGCCAAAGTCAATAAAAGCCAAGCTCTCGCCCGTTCATATCTGAAAGAAGAGAGGCAAGTCTTTTTAGTAGCCTGCACTGTATTTGCGAATTTCCCGTGTTGAGGTAAACTAAGCCCCAGGTTCCACACCCAGCGGTGCCCTTTCGTGAATTCCCTTAATTTTCAGCCTTACAACCATACTCCTCCCAGAGATCAAACACTTTGTTTTATTGAAGGATGCCGGGTGAGCCATAAGTCAGTCTCATCTCATCTCCAGTCCTCATTGCTTAGAGCAAAAACTAAAACGGTATCTGCTGGTCTCCGAGCCCTTTGCGTTCGTTGTTGATCAATGAAAACGTCCTTGGTAGTGGCTTTTGCAGCTGTTCATCTTCCGAAAATCCAAGAATTTCACCTCCAGCGTCGGAACACGAATGCCCTCAACCGCTCTTTTTAACCAATCCACGACTCAAACAAACCAACAAAACAGGACCAGGTCCTATTCTATTATTCCATACTAATGTAATCGGGGCAATCGCCTGCTTTGAACATTCTAAGTGTTTCATAGTAAATAGTGCCAGCAGCCTGGAAATCCAATTCAGCACCATTATACCACCCTCTACAGAGTCGCACAACCTTAAAACGCACACAAGAACGACCAAGGTCACACGCCAGTATCCGACTATGAGCGTTTTAACTGCAACAACTTTGGTATACGCCTACAGATGTGGAATTACCGCGGCTGCTGGCATAAGACTCGCCCTGTGCTGGTTCCTCGATAAGCTCTTTACCTTTTCCTCATTCCAACTAGAAAACCCACGGGGCCTTCTATTGATATTTCTTGTGACTACCCCCCGGTGTCCAGATTGGGTACGTTGTGCGCGTGCTGTCTTCCTTGGATGTGGTAGACATTTCTGAGGCTGCCTCTCCGAGATACCGCACCTATTATCCATTACCCATCAGAAACATGGTAACCCAATACCTTACCATCAAAAGTTGATAGGCCAGAAATTTGAACGGTGCGTCACAACTAGTGCGATCAGAAAATATCTACAATTACTAAAAGTACTGGCTTGCATCTCTAATTTACAACATTCTTTACGTCGCTCGGGAGGAACTTATTAGCTCTAGAATGAGTACGGTTATCTGAGTAGTATTTAGCAACGAAGAAATTTTAGCTGTTTTACCTCAACTATCGAAGACTGCTACGGTACGCTGCTCTAATCCTAGATATGGACGGCAAGCGCCGCCTTGGTTATGAGACAGAGCGGCGCGTGCGACTGAATATCCGCGAAGATGGAATCCTTAGCGTATCTGAAGAAGATCCCATCACCGCCACCGCCACCGTCGCCACTATCCACCGTGCTGGCGCTGCTGCCAATTGTGACACGTGCGAAAGTATCTCATAAATTTCTGCCATCAAGCCCACAGCTGCCCAGCATTCCTTTAGTTCCTTCGCTACCACTCACAAAAAGGTCGTACGACGACGCCAAGCTAATGTCGCAGCATGCTTTCGCCACAACAGGTGAGTTTCCACCCACAGACGCACACAACGGAACCACGGACTATGGCGCGTCACCGCGCACCGCCGCAGTTCCATCTCCGTCCCTGGCGCACATAATTCCTACGTACTTGATGTTCACTGGCAATAGCGCTGACCATCTCGGCCCTCCAGCAAATGTCCGCTTACCCTGCCAAAAACAGACGCACGCTGGCTCGAATTCGGCTACTTTCCAAACCAGAAACGTCATGACGTTCGTACTGGTGATGCCTAGCAAGTGAAACAGAAGCCAGAGAACCCTCTACTGCAACCATACAACGCACGCCATACCCAGCCGAGTCTATCGGCCAACTGCGCTGTTTTGCCATCCCCCAGTACTGCTTCCTATGTGCAGTAGCGATACAGTCAGTATAGCTAGCAGGGCAAGCCAACAGACCGAGGAAAACAATGGCAAAGATACCAGCAGCACCCAGCAAATGGTCAATATCGCTTTCTGGGTAAAGGCGTATTAACTGTACCGGCGTTCGCAGCGGACTTTACAATGAACTGCAAGGAGCAACTTCATAAGGCAATCAGAGCCTCAGTTATGCGCCTGCAAACAACTCCGGGGTCTTGCACATCAGAGTGCCCAAATGCGCCTAAAGGGCAACCACATCAGATCCAGCCAACTTTGTTGGAAAACAAAGAAATGGTGGGAGTACAGGAATGGACTCAAGCCACCAAACCACCAAACCATGGGCTCCCTTTTATACAGCCGAGCGGCCTGCAGTTGCAGCCAAAGGGACAAATCGGTTCGAAAACTTAGTACCTATGGAGGTGGAGCTACCAAGGCGCCAGGCAGCAGAGTACCACGCTAAAACAATACATCCCAACGAATTGTTTCTGGCTCGGGACCCTTGAAACAAGCGGCAGTTCTCGCATCGTTCTTCCCAGTGAGAAAATCAGTAACCAGCCCAGTGTAAAGAGAGTGGAGCCCTGAAACATGCCTCTGAAAAAACTTTTGCGACGCATGAATACAGTATCGTGCGCGCACAAAACCAAAAACATGAACATATTGGGGCACGACGGGTGGGAACTCCGGCACTACACGCGCTACGTTCAGGAAAAATGTTTTGCGGTACGGACGTCCAAATATATGTACAAATGTACTGCTGACAGTAAGGAAAGCGGAACCTTGCCTTCGCAGTTACAGCAGTGCGCAATGTACAGGAAGCGCAGTACGAGCGCAGCAAGAAGGACGTCCTGACAGTGCATTGGCAATGCTACAGACGTGGGCTGATAGCTTGCGTGCACGGTAAGTATGTTTGGTCAGCCAGAAACGAAAAGTTGCTACTGGAAATAAATCAAATCACGAGTTTGTGTAGATCCGGACTGAAAAAAAATAACAAACTGGAACATTGGTATATATCCATTTTGGACAACTAGCAGAGTGGAGGAAAGTAAGTTGTTAAATGCCTTTTTGGATACCACAACAACCAATTGTCTGGAATATCAGGTATCAGATGCGCAAAACTGCCCAGAATCGTAGAAAACTGATTTTCCATGGCATCGTAAAACAATTTCATGTGTATATACAAGGTGCATTTCACGATTTCCGACGTGAGAAAAATAGGACTGCTTCATAACTGAGAGAAATCGTGCAGAAATTGATTTCTCTGAACATAACAATATGCATGATCCGAATTCTTTGCCAATGTCACTACAATGTGCGGTAACTGATCCAAGAAACATGGTTGTGGTCGCGATTCGGCCAAATTTACACCACACTGATTTTTGTGGTGTGCTGAACATTGTTCTTCGAAAACAAGGGCAATCTTAAAATTTTAATTTTTCCTGAATCAGGATCATCAGTCATTGGTACCAAAGACCACATTTAAGATTTGCAATGCAGGGAAATTCATTTTACCTGTAACATGAGCAAATGCTCACGAAACTGATTTTTCGCGTATTCAAAAACACCGGGTGATCCGGATTCTGCCATGTGATGGATCAGCTTTGCCATTTCGAATCCAGAACAAATGGTGCTGTGCGGAAATTTATCGGATTGGAACAAAAACTAGTTTCTTATGGGTCAGAAAACTTAAGCGATCACAAATCTCTGCCTGTCATGATTGGATTCAATATTTCTGATCTCCAAGAACTCATGTTGTGTGGATATTGGTCAAATTCACAGCAAAGGGATTTTTCGCGTCATCCGAAAAACTGGGTGACCGAAATGTTCACCTGGCTAGGATCAGATGGCAAGTTATGACTTTGGAAACGTCATTTTAAAGTGTGAAGATTTCAATTTTGTGAGGAATGGACCAAAATCACGGAAACCGCACTTTATAGTCCGTCGGAAAATATTTTAATCTCCAGAATTGTGGTCATGAGAATACCATTTCCAGATATTGATCAGCACTGCCCACAATTACGGAATATGGGGATCTAGTGATACGATTTCTGATATCTGGAGAAGAGGCTGATCCAAAATTGACACCGTTAAGGCCAATCTCATTTTTGAGGATATTAAAAAATTCAAAAACCAGAATTTCGTCATCAGAATCACGGACAGAGCGGGTTTTGGGGTGCCAGGAGAAAACCTATGTGGATACTCTGAAATTTTGTCTTCAGGACGCTGTTAAAGCAGAAAACACAGTGCCAAAAACCTTGTTCTTAAAACGTTTGTGCCCGGAGCGCAGAAGAAGGTGAGAAACTCTACAAAAAGTTATTTTCGAAGCCAATTCTGTAAGATAATCTTGAAAATGTCGGGAAAACGAGATCGCCGACGTTTCCAGACCCAGAAACATATTTGGGAGGACAGTTGATGTAAGAGAGATATGTTTGCCATGAGACACGTCAATACTTCGCGTGAGAGTTGAGACATGAGTAAGAGAGATGTGCACAGTAGTGTCATCAGTTCTCACGAAAGAAGATTGACAGCACCATCTTGATATGATATCCGTATTGAGTGGTCCCCTGCACTGTGACCACTGAAGTATCTAGCACCATAGATCTTAGCGGGGTTTTGCATAGGTGCATATAAAGACCTAAGAATACTGGCTCTCTCTGGAGCCGAGGTAACCACCCACTCAACAACGGTTATCAAAAACTTTGAGAATCTAGATTTTTAAGTTTAAATGTGGTAGGATTTGTGATCCATTCACATAAACAGTTCTCAAAAAGCACGCTTTTTAATTATATGCAACGACGGCAACCAAAACATTAGAACTTTCTGTTGGCTGCAATGAAATTCTTCGCTTGGATTTCGAAAACTGAAGACCATCGTGCAAATCTGGTCTGAAGACAGCCATGTACCTTTCACATATGCAAAAATCACGGTTCTGAAGGACCAAGGGCATTATTGAACCTTGCATCGAGGAAACATTCAGGAAATTATTGTTCGGAGGCATTTCAAGCAGGAAAACTGAAATTTCTTTTATTTCCTATTCTAGACTACAATACGAGATGTAAATGAAATATTTCCAGAACCCTGGTAGCACCACTGAGTATAAGAGTCAGAAATTCCAAACATCACGTACACGATATGCATGTGAGACTACTTCCCTTATTGCACGCAAGCTTGTCGCAATTGAGGCTTCATAGCATTCAAATTTTATGTATTGCCCCGAAAGTATTTTTTAACACCGCAATAAGCGAACCCAGTTCACACTTGTTCCCGGAAATCCTTCACCCTTTCAAGATGATACTCAGGTCTCGGAATGTGCAGTTCCAGGCAGCTGCCACCTGCAGTGATCGTCATCGGGGTCGCCGTTGCAACCCTCCTTCAAGTTCACTTCTAGCTCTGGACGCTCCAGACGCTCACTATGCCCATCTGATCTCACTCGTAAAATTTAATTAAGGGTTGTTCGAAGAAGTAACGGACTCCATTTTCCGTTTTGCTTGAGCACAAAAATGTAGTTCGGGAACAGTTTCCGCTCCAGGCTGCATCTAATGGAGAAGCATATCCGGTCTCTTCCAGTGGCCATGCCGTTGAATGTGTAGAATAGGATCGTTTTATGTGTAATCATGCGTCCAACCACCATAATGAGAGTAATGCGATATGCTGTGTGGATTGATCGGATCACAACTGTGGTGCCATCCCGGTGTGGGAAAGGCACCCAAGGCAGCTCGAAGCCTTGCTCTCTTGGAGAGGTAGGCTCAGCTGGGTAGAGCCCTCCGTGTCCCGTATGACGGGTGTAACTCCGTCGGGAGCCTGGATGTACCTCGGAGGTTTAGGGGTTAGAACGGGTCGGAACCACGGCTGGTCCGGAAGTAGCCTGCGAACAGTGGAACAAAAGAGGGAAAGGGACCACCCGACGGGGGCGTGCGGAAAGCGGGAACAGACCCCGGAGGGGGTGCCGATACACACACACGAACACGCACCGCGCGGCGGTTAGGGGATATGAGGGGAAGGGATGGTCTCACGGTCTCACGACACACGTCGGTAATATCAATACCCAAAACTGGGGCGGAGATAGGGCCTGTACGGGCGGTCACACGACAACAACGAATACCACGAGTGGTCACAACCCACTGGGTACGACGAGCACGGTCTCCTCGGTGGTGCGAGTCGGGTGAAACTATCGGGCAAGCGGTGTACCTCCGCGAGGAGTTAGACACTTCGCATGGCGAATAGAGTC